CCACATGAAGATGAAGATTTGGAATCATGTGACTACGAGCCAAGGAACGCCAAGGGTCGCTGGCAGAGGCTGGGAGGCAAGGGAGGAACCTTCCCTGCAGGCTGTGGAGGGGGCAGGGCCCTGCAGTCAGCTTGATGTTGGACTTCGGCCTCCAGAACTGAGGGAGAATGAACTCCTGCGGGTTAGGCCCCGGGCTGAGCTTGTTTATTCTGCAGCCCAGGGAACGAGCCCGCCTAGCACGTGAGGGGCGGATGGTCGGCTGTCTCCTGAGCTGCCGGCATGAGCACCACAAACAGGCCCGGGTCCTGGAGCTGGTCCCGGGGACCCAGCAGGGTGTGAACAGAGCTGTGATGGGGATGGGCCTGAGAGGCCACGCTCACCCCTGGGGACCCTCCCGCTGCAGGGCAGAGCAGCCCCGCCCTGGCTCTCCACAGCTCAGCGCACATGGGGGAGGTGTCGGGGGGAGCGGCTTGTTAAAACGCTGATTCTGATTCACCAGGTCTGGGTGGTTCTCGCTTCCCAGCCCTGCTGGACTCCAGCTCCTTGCTGGGTGTCTTGTGGCTTTCCCTCCACCCAGGCCTCTACATGGAGGTGGCGTGGGCTGGGGCAGCCACGCGAGCCACGCGAGCCACGCCTTTGCACAAAGCCTTGCTTTCACCACTGGCAGCACTTCACGTCCCTGGTAACCATTCAGCCTCTCTTGAGAGGGGTGCCCCACCTCTCCAGGGGCCCCCAGAAATGTAATCCATCCTACTGCGTGGCCTGTATGTTAAGTTGATATATCCTGGACATGACCATCACATTTACTGAGATTCTATGAAGACATTTCCACATGATGCGGTAATAAACTATTTCACTTTCACAGATTCATACCCCAAATCCACTGATAAAACGTGCAAGACCAACTCTAAGTGAAGTAAGCCAGAAAGAGAAAGAAAAATACCATATGATATCACTCATTTGTGGAATCTAAAAAAAAAAGCACCAAATGCACTTATATATAAAACAGAAACAGACTCACAGACATAGAAAACAAACTTATGGTTACGAGAGGGAAAGGGGGTGGGAAGGGATAAGTTGGGAGCTCAAGATTTGCAGACACTGACTGGTGTATATAAAATAGATAAACATGTTTATTCTGTATAGCACAGGGAACTGTATTCAATGTCTCATGGTAGCTTACAGTGAGTGGGAATGTGAAAACGAATATATGTATATTCGTGTATGACTGAGGCATTGTACTGTAGACCAGAAATTGACACATTGTAAACTGACTATACCTGAATTAAAAAAGTAAAAACAAACAAACAAAAAAGTACAAGACCAGCAACATGCTGAACACACTGTATCTTCCCTGATATAAGCCCTCAACAAGCCCTCAACAAGTTTCCTGTCATCCTTCCTTCCCCAAGACAAAAAAAAAAAAATGAAGTATCTCCCATGTGCCCAGCTCAGCGCTCCCAGTGGCAACACAGTGAAAAATCAGATCCATGGGGTCCTTTCTCTCTGCAATCCAGAAAAGATGGACAATGGATTGGCTCTTTGATAATGCAGTTTCCACTATAATCATGATCACTTTGGGAGGGGATGAAAATGGTAGACAAGACACCTGCATACCCACGTCACAGCAGCATCACCTACTACAGTCACCAAAAGTAGAAGCAACACTCGTGTCCAGTGATGAATGAATGAATCAGCAACATGCGGTCCATCTGTACAATGCAATATTACTCAGCCTTAAAAAGGAAGGAAATTCTCAGGGGTTGGGGAAAGGGATAAATCAGGAGTTTGGGGTTAACATATATACACTACCATATATAAAATAAACAAGGTCCTACTGTAGAGCACCGGGAGCTATAGTCAGTATTTGCAATAACCTATAATGGATAAGAATCTGAAAAAGAATGTATATGTGTACGTATAACTGGGTCACCTTGCTGTACATGAGAAACTAACACGTCATAGATCAACTATCCTTCAATTTAAAAAAGGAAGGAAAGTCTGACGCCTGCTGCAATGTGGATGAACTATGAAGACATCATGCTGAGTGACATAAGCCAGTCACAAAGGGACAAACACGGCACGGTCACACTTCGGTGAAGTCCCAAGAGGAGTCAGACTCACGGGGACAGGATGTAGAACCCTGGAGAGGAGCACTCCCGGTAGAGGGAGTGGTTAGTGTGCTGGGGGTGGAAGGGAGCTTGGCTGATTTGGGAGCAACAGAGGTCAGCTCCCTGAGGCCTGTGCTCCTGGTGATGGGGAACGGCCGTTAGGAAGGCATATGAGCGCTGGGATGCAGCCGGAATCCCCAACAGCGAACATCACTGTGTGCTTCCCTGGGGCTTCTGCAACAGAGAGCTAGTCTCCCCCAGTCCTGGAGGCCAGAAGCCCAGGTGGGCGGCTCCTTCTGAGGCTGTGAGGGAGGCTCTCCCCCAGCCTCTGGTGGTTTGCTGGCCATGCTTGGCATTCCTTGGCTTGTTAGAAGTGTCACCCGACCTCTGCTTCATCTTCACATGACATTCTCTCCGTGTGCATGTCAGTGTCCAAATTTCTCTTTTGATAAGGACTCTGGTCCTATTGGATTAGGTGCCCACCCTACTCAACCAATTTCACCAGCAGCAAACTCATTTCCTAATAAGGTCATATTCACAGGTACGTGCGGATTTTGGGGCGACAGGACACCACCCGTGACCACTGGCCTCTATTAGCAATACCAAGTGCATGTGCTCTGCAGACCTGATCCCCCAGCCTCTGGGCACTTAAGACATGCCTGGCACATAGCAGGTGCTCAGCAAGTATTTGGTAGAATGAATGAATGATCATTTCCTGGCCTATAAGACTTTCTAATGGAAAACGCAGGAAAAAGCGGAGAACATTCCAGCTTATTTTCAAACTTTATTTCGGGAAACACTGTGACCCATGAGCGCATCCCACATTCAAAATCTAGAAACAGGGCTGGATCACCAGTGGGGCAGCCGCTAACACCATATCCCTTTCTCTCTTAGAACAGAACCCCGGTTTTACGCCTGGCAGAGATTGATCCAGCTAAGAAGACATTTCCCAAATGTCTTTTTTTTTTTTAACACATACGTCTCCAAAAGACTTATTATCTTTTCTTTAAAGAAATGGATTTTGAAGAGCAAAGACATGAGGCAGAGAGGTAAGAAACAGAAAATAAACAATCGGTTTATAACCACAACAAATTCGTATGGAGAATGCCCCGTGTGAAACAACACAACAAAGGTTCAAAGCGCGAGGTGTTCCCTGGGGCAAGGTGAAGACTTCAGCCTCCGGGATACGGAATTTAGGCCGCAGTCCTTGTCTTTGGATGGATCGCTGGGTGTCACAGGAGTCAGTGGCTCTCCGGAAAGCTCTTTAAATAGAGGGGCTGCTTCCGTTCAGGATGCGATCTTTTCACCTTGCACCTTCCCATCTTCAGGGCGCGGTCCAGAGTCCTGGCCGCGAGGTGATGAGGGTGAACGTCTGGCCGAGACAGACTGAGAAGGGAGAGGAGCCTGGCTCTCAGCCGATGCGCTGCCTATCTCGGGACTTCTTTAAGGACACAGAAACAAACCCCTAAGGATACAAGCCTTTGTGGCGGTGGCAGCGGAGG